GTAGGGAGCAGCAGTCCTGTATGCATCCACGCCATCAACAAATGATGGCGATGTGATCCATCTGAGTCGAGATTTGATTGGCAGAAGGAAACGCCAGGTAGGGCCACGGTAATGTCTGTGTCGGTAAATAGTGCTGGCTAGAAATTGACTGTAATCTGCGCAAAGCTGCAGAAGACTGTCTTCATTATCTGACCTGCGACCGTGTAAACCCCACTGACCACCTAGACGACTCTCCTCTGAGCCTAGACGCCCAACCTGTGTATTCATGCCCTAAGGCACCTGCTTCGGGAGATCGCTCATTTGGTAGGAAAAACTCATTCTTAATTGCGCCCTGCCTGTGATCAGTCGGTGCAGAGGCAGAGATGACAAACATACATCGCCGCTCTCATTGGTCACTTCTTACTCCCGTATAACCTTCTAGCCATACAGCACAGAAATGACTGTTAGTGGAAATCCAACTAGCCAAGTATTTGTCCTCACACCTGCTCTATCTCGTTATTGATTGTCAGAAGCTGGAATTCATGGAGAGGCCATTGACTCGGGTCCCAGTGGCTTATTTTTCTACGAATTCGCATTGTGACCGGAAAGTCCTGGTTCCAAACCCTGGCAGTGGGTGGATGAGTACTGATGAAGAGTTCCAGACTAGGACGAAACAGCCGCATAGTACTCTAGTACTGGTTTCCAAATGTCCTCTAACCACTGTCAACTCATGATGGAAACCCATAACTTGTTTGGTTTTTACGTAATCCTATCGAGCCATCCTATTCTTCTTCTTAATCATTATTTTTTTATGAATTTGTCGATTATATAATAACTCGTTGCTTACTTCCTACGAATTCTTTTATCCCGAATTCCGTAATAATGTATTTTCATCTCCCGATTCCTTTAAGACTAAAATACACTAGTTATTCGTTTAGATGACTTTTACCATCTTAATTTCAACCCACCCACTCCACGTATACCTAAGACTGGTGAATGAAAATTACGGTATGATTGGTTAACGTTTGATATACTAGTGTACAGTAATGATGAGGAACTTAGTTGGAAAGGAATACACATTTCTTCGCTCAATTTATTGTTTTTTTCTAAACGCACATTGAACGACATTATCTACAAATTATGAAATCAATGTACGATGTGTATTGGTCATTGTATTTTGTCATAATAAACATTATTTCCGCGCTCTGACCAGCATTGTTCATTTTCAGTACTTTACTAATGAAAACAGTAGTACAAATACGCCCTAGTGATTGGCACCATTGAAATTATTGTAGGAATGAACAGTACTCAGTACAAAGAAAAAAAATACGCGTTTTTTTAATCTTTGGTAGGATCAAACCAAAAATTCAGAGACGGTACGTAGACGACACATTTGTAATGATCAAAAGAAACGAATTAGATAAAACTCACAACTTAATAAACAACGTCTTCAGCGACATCAAATTCACAAGAGAAGAGGAATTCGAGAACAAAATCCCATTTTTGGATGTCTTAGTCAAGTGAACAACCACATGGGAATTAGAAACTCAAGTTTATAGAAAATCAACTCACACAGACCAAATATTGAATTACAACAGCAACAATCCAGTAGCACACAAGAGGAATTGCATACAAACACTATTCGAGAGGGCCAGAACTCATTGCAGCACTCCCACCTTAAAGAAAAACTGAAGAAAGATATCTCATGGACGTCTTTCCAATAGAATGGCTATCCACGGAATTTCATCAAAAGACATATACCCCCAAGCCAACCTATCAAACCAAAAATCCCAAAGGAAAGCACAAAGAAAATCGCTTTACCATATATAAAGGATATCTCAGAAATCACTGCAAGACTCTTCAAACCTTTAGGAATTGAGGTCTCACACAAACTAACAAAATCACTTCATTCAGTTCTATGTCAACCAAAAGACTCAACGACGAAAGAAGATGAAACCAACATCATCTATAAAATAAACTGTGACAACTGCGAAAAACACGACATTGGACAAAGTGGACTCCCCTCCTCTTCGTCTTCGTTTCCATGGACATAAGCTAGCCATCAATAGACATGACATCCACTCCCTCACGCATATCACTGCATACACACAACCACAGACATCAATTCGAATGGGACAACGTTCAAATATTAGATAGAGGATACAACAAGAATGCTAGAGAATTTTTAGAAGGCTGCCTCGTATTTCACTGAATAATCAATCAATAGACACATCAAGATAGACAAAATTTATCAACCGATAAGAAAGAAACCTCGCACAAAAAGGGCCAAAGTTCAAGTAAAAAAAACAATCAGTCCCAATAAAATTGCCTAGAGGGTGTATAAACACACAAAAACAACCAATCACGTTCACGGTTTCCACCAGAGGAGACGACTAATAAACTCGTGGAGAAATCTAAAAGCTCACTTCAATTCAAACTGAAGTATGCGCTGAAGATGTTTCCTAGTGGTGGGCAATGAAAGCTTCGCAAATTAACTATCCAGCTCAGAGAACACAACCATACCAAACTCATCCTCCTGAGCTACGAACCTTCTTCATCATATGTAAATCTTACGATACGAATTTACAACACGAATGTCAAGTCAGTCAGTCAGTGATACAGTATGGTTTAGAGCCTAGAAAAAAATACTTCATCATTAGTATTCCCAAGAGACTTCAGAATTTCATCTACAACTGCATTCACTCACTAGTTCGATACTGAAGATCAGATGGCCGTCTAGAAAGGTCAGCCAACAAGGAACTCCTGCAAAGAACCAACCGACTAACCAACCAAGAAACTACCGCTGAAGAAATATGTAGCAAGAAGTGATTATGGAAAGGACCCGTGTCGAGAAGACCGTTGAATGACTTCACACACCAGGAACACGTTCGAGTGGGGCTCGAATGAGAGAGATGCAGAGGAAAGGCAATAAGGAGAAATGTGATAGAGAAAGAATAGTAACATGGGAAATCATTAAGATTTAATAAATCGCAAAGAGTCAATACCTCACCGCCATTGAGAATGATTTTAAGCCAGATTACCAACTGCCTCCAGTGGTTGTTACCGACGCGAGAACCCCAACCAGGAAGTCTACACATTCCAACAGGGCTGGCTCAAACTAAATGTTAAAGATTTCACAGAGAGATACAATGTATTGGTCTACGAACCACTAGCCTTTTCCCAACCTCATCCTATTTCAGCTAACATTTCCTGTCGAGGAAGACGATGGCTAGCCGAGCATATCCTAGCCAATTCAATCGATATTGCTTCACAACCTAATCAATCGCTTGATTTTCTCTCCTTACCTTACACTCGACCGAAGACTAACCTCAATATTACTCACCCCATAACACCACAACTTATATGAAAGATAGAATGGAGATACATATGATAAAGGAAGCTAGCCATTTTTTCATCTCTTCCACATCCAATAGCCACAAAGAAAATAGGCGAGAACTTCTGAGTACTGCACACGTCCTCTGATCGATAGTCAGTCGAATATCACGTCTATGCCAGGAGAAAACGCAGCCTAGTGAATTTCCCACACGAGCCTCCTCTATCCGTTCGTGCTGATATTTCATCAGCAGACAGGCTATCAGGGTTGATGCAACTCTACAAATACATAAAGTGATGGTCAACACACTCCACCAACCACTTCATTGTCTATCGCCAAGCTAGGAGTCGGTGCAGGCGTCCACTCCTGTAGGATATTCTTACTTACATTTCACAGAAGCGATTCGCATACGAAACATTTAAAGACTTCTGTCCAAGCTGTCCAGAAGAAGGCTCTGCACTTTATCAGTGTCGTCACCTAGGAGAGAGAACTATATCATACGCAGATATTCTAAGTCAACAAGACAGTCTCCTGGTAATAAGTTAATCCCGTCATGAAGTCAAGACATACATAGGTGAAACCCAGATGAGCTGCTGAAGCTCTATGTTCCACTAGGAACACAAAGGAAGAAGAACAATAATATTAAACAATATAAACAACCTTTTGGGGCAAACCCCGGGTGGAGTGGGGTTTCTACTGATTCGAACTCCTACAACACATCTCCACTTTCTTTTATTTTCGACTGTCTACTTCATCTGAGCCTACGATTGCCCATAATCTCTGATCTCTACCATGTCACACACTCGCACGGACAACCCACTCGTTGTTCCTCGATCGGCTTCCACTCGAGCGATGTCATTCGACGGTCTCCAGCAAACAATACGTTTGTTTTTTATATATATATATATTTTTGTATTTTCAAAATATTTATTGTACATTGAAGTTTCCGTTGCGGTTTGATTGATTTTGTGGTGTAGGGTCCCACACGCCCAACCACTGTCCCTCTTTATCCAGGCTCGGGAGTGGCTAGAAAACCAGCAAGGTAGTAAACTTGTCAGGAAAATAATACATTATTGGTGTCGCGCTAAATCATGAATTGGTAGAAGTTAGAATTCATGGGCTGGCCATTGAATCGGGTCCCAGTGGCTGAATGGTATACGAGTCAGCTAGCTTGCCTTGTAACCGGAAGGTCCTGGGTTCGAACCTGCTGTGGCGGGTGCATACTTCCGATGATTCCCAAACTAGTGGGATGAAACAGCTGGCTGTCCAGTACTCCCCCAGTGCTGGTTTTCAATGGTTCTCTAACTCATATCAATCTGTGATCAACTCGTAAAAACAAAACTAACCCTTACAACAAACCAAACTATAGAAAACATTATGATTAAGAAAAATGTATTTAAACAAGAAATCATAAAATCAGTATACAGGAGATCCACAAAAAGAAAACAAACGGGGAAATTAAAACTATGCGCGAATGATTAGATATTACATTATAATAAGGGGATAGGGAAAAAAAGGCAATCTGTACAAATGGTATATATGTTCCTGGCATCACTATCCTCGTGAGACAGTTACAACATTCACTTATAGATGGATAGATAAAGTCACGTCTTTTGATGATGTGTGTTTTCCTCTCTGTTCATCTAACAGCCTCATACACTGAGACAGGTCTTAAGCACACACTAACCTTGTTATTATTATTATTACAGATTCGATTAACTCCAATCTGATAGATACTTTTATCCTTTAGCTGAACAATTAGCTAGTGGGGTGGGAACAACACACAAAAATAAAAATTAATTAAGGAAACACATCGTGATAGAGATTGTGTATTAATATACCCACTGATTAAATAAATCAACACTTTAAAAAAAACTATTGGCTAGAAAATAGAATAGTATTTAGGTGGAAATTATTATTATTATTATTGTTTCGCTTAGTTCCTAGAGGAACATAGGGCTTCAGTCGCACATCTCCATTGAGTTCGGTTCGCTGCCAACGCTTTCATCACCTGGCTCCACGGTGAATGACGGAAAGAGACTGTTTAATGAAAGTAGTATCCCAATGTTATGTGATGTCACCATTTTTATATTTCGAAATAACATTGACAGAGAAATAGAATGAGGACACCAAGTTGGATACAGATGCGGGGATCACGAATACCGTTAGTTGACTACGCCAACAACGTTATTTGACAGCTAACATGTTTTTCGGATGACAAATGTCACAAAAACTCGAAAACTTCCAGGGCTGAAGAAGCAGGCAGAGAGGACAGGACTTCAAATAAACATAGAGAACAAGACTCACAAGCGAACAAGATTGTTTTTAATTAGATTTTCTTCAGGCTTTACTCTAATTGACATAGATATATGCATACAAATTTTATCCAATGACGGTATATCTATAAAATTTAACTGCTCCCACAGAGAAAGTTATATAGGGAGAACAACTAGACAGCTCAATTAACGCATCACTGAGCAGCTTCCTACATGGTTCCGAAAACGTCAAGTAAAATCCATAAATAGTTCTATTTGGTCTCATTTCATTGATGATAGCCGTTACCAAGCGGGCAGAAGAAGAAGTGCCTTCAAAGTTACCTACAGCATTCCATCGAAGTTGAATCTGCGTTTTACACATAGACGAAGCTGTGGAAATTCGAGAGAACAATCCTAGTCTTTGAATACAAAAGAAGTTTGTTTTACCTTTGTCTCTCCCTTGGACTAGGTAAATTCGAATTAAAATAAACCTCCCACCCTTCCTTATTTTCTATCTCCTTCGTACTTTTATGATATTTATTTAAACTCTGACCTACCTTTAGTATTACGTAACTTTTAAGATTTGACCTAATTATTTATTTATTTATTGAATTGTCTACATATACACATATCACTCACTATCTTTGTTATTCTTGTCGTCACCCGCACAAACCTTACTATCATTATTTTTGTTATCATTATAATCATCGTTATTACTGATGTTCAAAACACCTAACACATTATTATTATTATTGTTATTATTATTAATCGATCCACAAACTCACCGTCATTGGTTAAATTTTTTATATTCAAAGAGCTATGTAAAATAGAGTAAAGCCTGAAGAAGAAGATCTAATTGAAAACAACAATACTGTCCGCTTATATGTCTTGTTCTAATATTAGTAAAGGGAATATTTAAACATGGAGAAGACTGTGGAGGTGATGAATACAACCAACAAACAGCTACAGCAAACAGCACCAATCACTATCAACGGAAGAAGCATCCCTTCACCTACAGGCGACACCACGGATGACGATGTCAAAACGGGAATTGGAAAGGCAAGACTAACATTCTTCATCACTGTGAAGTCAGTTTGGGAAATCTCTTGCATTCAGTATAAACAACAACAAGATTTGGGTGTTCAACACCAATGTGAAATAAGTCTGGCAGTCGGTCAGTTCTTCTCCATGGGTCAGAAACTTTGCTAGCGTGTCATGAAAAGCTTTTCCATCAGTCTACTGAAGACTTTTATCAACAGCTGCTCCTTTCGCCGGCTCCACGTTGAAGATCAGATGGCCAGTTAGCCAGCCGGTATGCCAGAAAGAATTAGCAACATAAACCATAGGAACGAATTAACCAAGAACCTATAGCTCAACAAATATGTAGGAAGAAATGGAGATGGATTGGACACATGCTGAAGAAACTGCCGAATGACATCGAGCGCCAGGCGGCACCTCGAGTGGGATCCGACTGAGGGATAACAAGTGGGTGGTCGGTGCGAGAGTGACATGGAGGATATCGTCTGAGGAGAAGAGCATGAGAGATAATGGGCTATCGTGGGCGCAGATAAAGAGGAACACTAATGACTTTTTTACTGACAAATATGCTGACTGAAAAACAGAGTCTGAAGCGACTTGTCGAGGATGGCCATTGTATCTTTTGTCGCTGACTAAAATCATTTTTGTGTCCAACCTCATTGCAGTCCAGGCACCGGTATTACTTATATACAGGAGAAGTTTTCATCAAATGCCAGGCATCACACAATACCAGAAAGGATGATGCAGGTGTCATCTTTGTGCGTCAATTGGTTTTGTGTGAGTAACTGGGATAATGGACATTTCAGCTAGGACCAGAGGTTGATGCAAGGATTTCGAAAGGTCTGGCGAAGAGTATTGATTTCAGAATCATCTCAGCATCCAGAATGGACACTACACTAATTGTTCGAGAATCCTTTTCCGTGATGTTATGAACTATGGACTCTAGACAAATGATGATATGACTCAAAATCCCTTTTTTGTCTTCTTTTGTGTGCTACACAGAGGAGTGTGTCAACTTGAACTGTTTCACTTTTGTGTAGAGTTCTATGCTGAGACTCCATCAGTCAGTCAGTCTGTCAATAAGATTACTACTGATTCTAATGAAAAGTGCATAATTTATCACATAACAATCCTACTAAAGACATAAAAGTTACTGACTGAAAAAGCAACTAACCTCATCGGTTAAGAGTACAGGAATATCATTCTCCGCAATAAGGCATATTATCTTGATATGATCTTGACGACAAGACAGGATCGAGGCTATTCGATTGTGTAATTCATGCGTAGTCATTTCATACAACATAACAGCATGATAAACTATATTCCATAAAAAAAGAGAAACAAAACAATGGATATATTTATATTATACATACACGAACCGACTATTCAACACGACCAGTGGAGATAAATCCGTCAATTGAACTAAATCGGCCATGATCAGATGAGACTCATTTTTGACGCGCAGGTTCGAACCCTCCTTTTGACATCACTTTTGTATGAATTGGTGGTTAAAAATGGTAGATAACTCACTAACCGAGTCACAAGTTATCCGAGTTCTCCAGCCCCTGCCGAGGCACTCGTAAAAACCCATCGCTTTGTAGGAAGTAAGCTGGATAAAAAGAGAAGGTTGTGAATGAGGCTAGCGACCCTACCACTGCTACTGAAACATATTAGAGCCTAAAAATTAACTGGAGATGGCATCAAAATTCTTCACAATGGTTAAATATTGTTATGTTCCGCAATTATTATGTTATTATTATTATTTTCTTTAATTCCTAGAGGAATATAGGGCTTCAGCCGTGCGTCTCCATTGCGTTCGGTTCTCTGCTAACGTTTTCACCTGGCTCCAAGTCTGACCACATGCTTTCATCTCCTCTTCATTCTTGGACGACCAAATCGCCGCCTCCCTTTCGCGTTCCACTCGAAGGCTTGTCTAGTGATGTCACTTGATGGTTTCCTCAGAGTATGGCCAATCCATCTCCATTTCTTCCTGCTGGGTTGATTCGTTCATAGCCAGAGATCGCTGTTGCTGATCTTTTCTGGCCAGCCATCTGATCTTGATTAGTATTGAGCGAAGACAGCTGTTGATGAAGGTCTGTAGTTTCTTTGAGATGCTCTTTGTGACGCGCGAAGTCTCTGATCCGTATAGTAAGTAGCACTTACTTCACATTGGAGTTGAAAATCCGGATCTTATTTTACAAGCTGAGTGCTGTTGACCTCCACACAGACTTGAGAGTAATGAAGGCTTGTCTTGCTTTCCTCGCTTTGATATCCTCTTCAGTTCCGTCCGCCTGTATTTGAAACGATGCTTCCCAGGTCGGTGGGTAAAGGAGGTTGCTTCTTTCAGGTTCCTCGCATTCATGCTGATTGTCTGCTGTTGGCCAGGAATCTTCATCACCTCAGTTTTCTCTGTGTTCATCTGAAATCCTATCTTTCATGGATGCTTCTATTCTGCCAACTTGTTGCTTTTCACTTGCATATCTTCCAGTTTGTGGGAAATCAGACAAATATCATCGGCGAAGTCCAGATCCTCCAAGTTTTTTTGTGTGAGTCCACTTTATGCCTGTTTTCTCATTGCCCGTTGTTTGCCGCATTATCCAATCTACTGCAATCAGGAAAATCATTGGAGATAGTAGGCAGCCAGTTTGTCTTACTCCCGTCTTCACTTAGAAGGATTCCATAAGTTCCCCTTTTGTGGATTACTTGACATGCAGCATTGTCGTACAACTGTTGGACGAGATGTATAATTGTCGCATGGCAAGATTATTTATATCCACAGATTCAGTGTTCCAAAGGCAAATAATTACAATAAGTTCCACAACTTCTTGTCAATAAACTCTACAAAAATAAGAGTTTTATGTAACTGAGTAAATGTAGCATGCTAATCGAAAAGCGCGCGCAGATATTCCGCAAACTGTACAGTTATTTCTGCTTTTATTTATTTTCATAATATTCTCACTAATAAGATTTGTGTGAGCACTTCTCCCAAATATTATCATGAAGTTACCATTAGTATTCCATTGGGTTACTACTGGGAAAAAAGGTTTCAACAATACATCTTCAGTTCATCTCGCTTTCTGTAGTCCTCCTTTAGCCAGCCCTGCTATAGTCCATAAGGTTTTGTCTTTTCTTATCACGATCTCCTCCGTATCACTATCGTATCACAGCGAAACTCATCGTTTTGTATTTGCCTTCTCTACTCGAGCAATAAATGACCTAGTGAGGAATGTTAACAGATGGTTTCCCCTCAGAGTGTCACCAATCCACCTCCATTTACTTCGGAATATTTGATGAGTGGTAGATTCGTGGATGCTCCCACTCCCAGAGATTCCGGTTCCTGATTCTTTGCAGCTGGTCATTTGATCTTCAATATGCAGCCAGTGAAGGCAGCTGTTGTTACTAGCCTGCAAGAGGCTGTTAGAAATGCTTTCAATGACGCGCTGCTAGTCAAATTTCTGACCTATATAAAAGAACTGATTGGTGCTGAGAATCAGAATTTCGCAGTGACTTCTGATTGCAGACGATTTCCGCACTGATTCCAGAGTGATGAAGGTCGCCTTTTGCATGCCAAAGCTGGCTTTAATATCTTCATCCATGCTGTCACCTACAGTTGAACGGATGCTTCAAATTTATTCCCTTGACAGTAGTGATTAGTACTTGTTGTTGTTAGTGTTGTTGACTGGTTATCTTCATTACCTACCTCCACAGTCTTCTCTCTCTCTCTCTGTGTTGGCTAGAAATCCTTCTGCCAACTTGTCAGCAGTTTTCACCTCTAAGTCTTCTAGTTTTTGTGACATTTAAATATAAATCACCTGCGAAGTTCACATCTTCTAGAGTCTTCTTGTCAAACAAAGGTGGTACTCCAGTTTTCTCCACCTACCCGCCGCACATACGGTGTTCCACACAATCCAGTCCCTCACAATTAAGGAATATCATCTCTGGCAGTAATAATAAGCAGTCTTATTTTACTCTTCACTTCACTTCCAAAGGATTCGCCGAGTTTTCTGTTGTGGATCATTTGACATATCAGCGGCTGAATGAGGTTGATAAAAATTTGTGGCACTGTACTCCATAGTGTTGAAATAGTTTCCAACTTACTTCGCGATGAATGCTGCCGAAGGTCTTTTCAAAGTAAGTGAAGTAAAGGCAGAGAATTGACTGCCAGTGTATATATACATATAGCAATAGTAATAGAAATAGTAAAAAAACACGAAAACGTACTTATCTCTCCTTTGAGGCACATGTACAGTGTACATCGTGGAACAGTAGGTCTATCAAACGGAATATAAAAAGAAAATAATAATAATAATAGTGAATCATCTTTCTTTTGTATACATAATCATGGATGCCTACACTAAGAACATTATCAGAAAACAGAACAGACTTGATTAGATTTGACCACTTCTCCTCTTCTCAGCCTAAAAAGCTTCTATAGTTGATCTGTAGGGATTAGATGTGTTTTTACGAGTTGATCACGGATTATAATCAGTTAGAGAACTATTGAAAATCAGTATTGGAGTAATGGACAGCCAGCTGTTTCATCCCACTAGTTTGGGAATCATCGGAAGTACGCACCCGCTACAGCAGGTTCGAACCCAGGACCTTCCGGTTTCAAGGCAAGCTGGCTCGTATGCCATTCAGCCACTGGGACCCGACCTGATTCAATGGCTCATGAATTCTAACTTCTACCAATATTGAATTCGATCTTAGCAAATTTCACACCATATTATGTAACATTTTATATTCGCCTACTAATCCTGTAATTATACACCCCTTTCCAAAATCTATACACCTTATGTATTATTCTATATATGACATTAATTATTTTGCTACTTGACATTTAACTATGAATACATAATCACAAATATTTTAATTGCGTTTCATACTACTGTGGTGAGTGGTACTTATAATCCGATATAAGTAGTATATCAGAAACGAAGTAACAATATGTTTGGCACACTGGGAAGAGCAATCAAAGAAGAGAACCATGAGAAGAATGTTGCCATATGATGCAGAATCCAAGAAGCTATCGAATGAGACGATATTCGACCAATTCGTCAAGGATGTGGTAAAGATGTGCAAATGGCCGGTTGAGAATATGGTATTCCAAATTTAGCTATGTACCATACGTTTCACCAAATAAACATTCCTTTCAGTTTCCTCAGCCTTGTTTTCTTTACATTTGGTGTCGCTGCCTCTGCAGGAGATGAAGGTGCCGTGGCCGCAGGTGTTCGAGGAGGGAGATGTGCGGAAGTTCCTCAGGGACTTCGAAGCTGTCGCGGAGCTGGTTGTCTTGGGAACGCTGCTGAGGGGCCGCGCGAAGGCTGCGTACGACAACGCTCGGGAGCTGGAAGGTGAGGCGGCGTGGGACAAGGTCGTCGAGAGGCTCGTGTGCGAGTTCGACAGCCCTGCGGACAGACAAGAGGCGCTGCAGAAGTTTCGGACGCTGAGACTTGGCCAGGATGGGGATCCGTTGGTTCTGGCAGTAACGCTGACGAATCACCTGCGACGCGCGTTACCCACCCTAGACGAAGATTCACGGGAGCAGTTGCTTGCATCTCAGTTCCTCGAATGCGTCCCGACAGATATCGCCCATCAGTTGCAGCTAGTTAACGCAGCTCAGCCAATGGATGTCTATGAAATGGCCAAGGTGACAGGGCAGATAATGACCTCGCATGTTGCTCCAGTGATGTCGGAGGGCCAAGATTCCAAGACTACTACTATTTTTATTTCATGTATTCGCACCTTTGATCGAATTCCCTCACCGAATATAATTTCTTAAAAACCATATATATATATATATGTATACGATTGTACAGCTTGGTAATAAATTCGTTGTTGAAAAGAGTCTCTTCGCTGAATATTGTATTCTCAACATATTCAATTATAGAGCACTCCTTATTGACCCACTATTACCTTTTTGTACCGAAGCGGGATAATGCTCTTTGACTCTTTTAGATACAAAACAAAAACTAGGCACCGAATGACCTACATATCATCTCACGCTCCTCTGTGTCTGAATGGATATTTTTTGTGAATTAAAAAAGAAAAGATTGCACACTACGATATATATCAGAGGTTAGGCAAGCACTTCATGAGGTGTAAACACATTTAATAGTTAAAAGGGTCAATAAACTCACTTATTGTATAGTGAATTATACAACCGTAAACCCTCCAATGATCCACATATTGACAATAAATCTTCTTTTGCTAGGCGAAGCATATCACGACCTAAAGGGAAGAAACGGAGAAGAAACTGAGTTAGAGAAGTATAAAACATAGGAGGCTTACATAACAACAACAACAACAACAAATACCACCACAAAGGGTTGTACATCTCTTTGAATTTGTGACTTTTGATTACTATTAGATTGATTGAGTTGATGCAACAGACTGAGGGGCTGAGGTAAAGCGCTCTGGAAAATCAATACAGGCCAAGAAATACAGTCTTTCAACAGATGATTCACTATGGCAAACAATTTAAAGTCAATCCTTAGGCAGGCATAATGATAACTTTTCTTTCTAAACTGAGCATCGAGTCATATTGAATCAAAACTTATACATTCAAGATAAGATTTTTCCTGAATGATTTCCTGAGTATGCCAGAACTTCTTCAGCAGAATTCAGTTGAATAAGAACAACAATACTCTATTTATGGAGTTGACGTTAGATTTAGACAAGTTCAGTATTTAGTTATGTAAGAGAAATAAGGTGGTTCCTCCTGTGTCAGGTTTACTTACGTCAGTTCTATTAACTACTGTAAAAAAAATAAAATGAGCTTTCGCATATCAGAACATAAACGAAAACTGGACAAATTTTCCAGAAGAAGTGACAAGCCTGTATGTATAAGTTATATATATATATTGATGTGGTTGTGTTTTCTGAGCTGGGTAGGTAATTTAAGGAGCTTTCATCGCCCTACTAGGCGACATCTTCAGCGCATACTTCAATTTGATTTGAAGTGAGCTTTTAGATTTCTCCGCGAGTTTTTATTAGTCACCTCTCCTGGTAGGTGACCCTGAACGTGACTCTTTGGTTGTTTTTGTCTGTTTTCACACCCTCTAGGCTACTTGTATTGGAACTGATTGTTTCTTCGACTTGAACTTTGACCCTTTTTGTGTGAGGTTTCTTTCTTATCGGTTGATAAATTTTGTCTATCTCGATGTGTCTATTGATTGATTATTCAGTGAAATACGAGGCAGCCTTCTAAAAATTCTCTGGCATTCTTGTTGTTTCCTCTATCTAATATTTGAATGTTATCCCAGTCGAAGTAATGTCCATGGTTGTCTGTATGCAGCGATATGAGGGAGTAGATTTCATGTCTTTTGACGGCTAGCTTATGTCCATGGAAACGAAGACGAAGAGGAGGGGAGTCCACTTTGTCCAATGTAGTGTTTTTCACAGACAACCGCAAACATCAATTCGACTGGGACAACCAACGTTCAAATATTAGACAGAGGAAACACCAAGAATGCTAGAGAATTTTTAGAAGCTTGGCATTCCAGTGAATAGTCAATAAATAGACACATCGAGATAGACAAAATTTATCAACCAATAAGAAAGAAACCTCACATACAAAGGATCAAAGTTGTGTGAAAACACACAAAAACAACCAATCACGTTCACGGTTTCTACCAGAGGAGACGACTAATAAACTCGTGGAGAAATCTAAAAGCTCACTTCAAATTGAAGTATGCGCTGAAGATGTCGCCTAGTAGGGCGATGAAAGCTTCGCAAATTAACTATCCAGCTCAGAGAACACAACCACATCAAAATCATCCACCTGAGCTACAAATTTTCTGTATCCTATATATATATATATATATATATATATATATATATAATACCTATGACTTAATTGTGCGTGAAACAATTGGTTAAAAGTAGTTTTTCGACAGATTGCAAAATGATCTTTCAAAAGCCAATATGAAGTAGTTAGGGTCCTTTCGAGTGTTACTGTGAAGAATTCATTACTGTTATTATTTATTATTGTCCCATTAAGCTATGAGTGGAAAATAGGGTTCTTCCATGTCACCCATGACCTATGCCCAACTTGTCGTTTGTCATTCTGGTTCCATTCGACCGACGGCGAAGCGCGTGATGTCCACCGATGATCTCTTCAACGTGTTTCCGATGTATCTTCACTTTCCTCGCTATATTTGTTGGGCTATGGCTTCTTGATTTGTTTGTTCTCAGAGTTTCTTGTTTCTTCGTCGACACGCAATGTTAGCTGAAATAGGTTGGATCAGGTTGGAAAGGAGTTACCTAGTGATGGTCAAACTAAACCACGGTTTTATCAGTCAGTAAAATCCACAGCAGTTAATTTGAGCCACGTAAGGAGATACAAACTTCCTGGTCAGGGTCCTCCTGATGGTAAAAACCAATGAAGGCTAGCGACAATTGGTGATATGGCTCAAAATAGTTCTCAATGGCGCAGATCCATTAACTCCTTGTGACTTTTAATATCCAACAAAACTATATTGTTCTTCCATATTACTATTGTTTTTGTTTCATATATCTGTCTATAATCTCTCTTTGGAATCTCTTTTTACTCACTCTTATGTTCCCAAAGGAGGGAGTTTGGCAACTGGAACTGCTGCATATCTGTGCAAAGTTCTACGTTGAAACCAGTCAGTCAGTTTCTTCTTTCTAATCCTTTCTGACGTATGATCTGAATATCAACATGGAGCCACTGAAGGCAGTTGTTGATAAAAACTTTACAACTGGCTGTTGGAAATACTTCTCGTGACCAACACGCCAAGTTTCTGACCCATATAAAAGAAATTACTGACTTATAACATCGGTGTTGAAGATCCGAATTCTGTTGTTTATGCTACGGAGTGCAGAAGATTCTGAAAATGATTTCAATGTGAGGAAAGTCTGTCTTGCCTAACTGATCCTGGTTCTCACATCCTCATCTGGGATTCCACTTGTAATTGAGACGGTGCTCTCTAGATAACTCAGTGCGTCGGTGGCACAGCAGTAGAGTGCTCACCGACTACGTCCGGAGTTCAGTCCTCGGTCGATGCACTGTCTGTTTACGACATAGAACTTTGCACCGATGTACACCAGTTCAAATCGACACACTGCACTCCTTGTAGCACACAAAGCAAGAGAAGAAAGTAGAAGAAATACAAAATAGAGACAGTAAACAGGGATATGAGAGAAAAGGAATAGTAATAACGAAGAACAATATAGTTTTATTGGATATTATAAGTCACAAGGAGTAGATGCATCTACGCCAGCCATTGAGAACGATTTTAAGCCATATTATCAATTATATCCAACCATTGGGTTTTACCGTCCCGAGGACCCCAACCAGTCAGAAAGTCTACACCTTCCTACATGGCTGGCTTAAACTAAATGTTGTAGATTTCATTGACTGGTGCCATGTATAGTTTTGACCGTCGCTAGCTCTTTTCCAGCCTGATTCTATGTGAGCTAACATCGCCCATTGTCGAGGAAGGCGATGCCTAGGCTGGGCATGCGTTACACATGTCTTAACCATCTCAGTCGATGTAGCTTCACAGCCTCATCTATTGATTTTCCCTCCTTACCTAGCGCTCGACCGAAGCCTAACCTCAGTATTACTCACCTTATCATACCACTTCACAAGGGAGATAGAACGCAGGCATTTATGATCAAAGACAGTTAGCCTAGCTTTTCATGTCATTCACTCTAAATGGCCAGGTCTAACAGCTATAAAAGAGGACGGAGCGGTCGGCACACTCCCTTTCCTTGCTGAGCCAGTAGTATGACTGGTAAAGAGGGAAGGTTGGGCATGAGGCTAGCTAGCTAGCTACAGAAACTTCAAGCCTCTAGTTTGAAGCCCTATGTTCCACTGGGAACATAAAGGAATAAAAGAAAGTCCCTAGATAACTGAAGGAAGTAATCTCTTCAAAATTCATTCCATTGATTGGTTGCTTGCTGTGACTGACTAGTTATCTTCATCACCTCTATCTTCTTTAGTATTCACTAGAAGTCTTGTCTTCCTTACCTAACTCTTCTGTCGACTTGTTGGCTTTTGTCTACAAGTGTTCAAGTTTATGTGACATTAAACATAAATCGTCCACAAAGTCCATATCTTCTTGAGATTTTTTATCGGTCCAACAAAGACCAACTCAACAACCAATCACAGGAGACTTAGCGTGGGCGGATACGATTCGCAGACATATGGTCTGACCTTAAAAGAAAGATTAACTTCCAGCGAGAAAACAACCAATCAGAAGACGATGTTTCTCTGCTAATAATAACTAATAATAATGTACATAAAAATATATAAATATCTCTTGATTTCACCAATAAACGATCTATTGCCTGGCCTTTGCCTTCTATCGTTACAGGAATATCATCATTAGTAGTATTTTGACAGCCCTGTCTAACTCCTGTCTTCACTTCAAGGGCTTTGGTCACATTTCCGTTGTGGATCACTCGATATGTGGCTGCTGAATGAGGTTGGTAAAGACTTGGGACACTCTGTAGTGTTGAAGCATACGAAATAAGAGTCCATATAATGCAGTAGCGTCAAACATAAAGAAACACTTAGTAGTAGAACAAAAACACAAAAAAATAAAACCAAACTAAGATCACATACCTGTGAAATTTTTAAATGTTTCCACAAGATTTTCAAAATTTGACTGACATAGCCAATCGGTAATTTGTACAGCAGTCATATCACAGTGTACCACTGACAGCATATAACTATTACTATTATTATTATTATTATTACTAGTATTGCTACTACTACTTCTACAACTCATTGTATTATCTGTTGAACATACTCCCGATGAAGATGACTCATTCAATATACCAGCTGTTGATGTTGTCCTCACTCCTTCTTCTCCGTGTCGTTGTTGTTGATGATGATCATTTGATGTCAAGGAGATAATCGATCCACGATGTGATGTCTCTGCATGATCAAGCAGAGAATTTGATTTAATCAAGCATAATTCTGCATATCTCAATGATTCATCTCCAGCACCAGCTGCAGCAGCATTGCCAACACTCGTCCCACCAGCATCTCTAGTCGAAGCAGCATCAGCATCCGCATCAGCGCTATCATTATCCCCATCAACAACAGGATGATTATCATTATCCTCAGGACAATATCTAATCTCTTCTAAAACTCTATCAGTGGTTAACGACGTTTCATCTGACGACGCATGCAACTCATTACCACAATAGCCTGTAGTAGTAGTAGCAGGAGTAGCAGTATTACTATGAGTAGTATCACAACTAGCCGGTGTAGCACTAGACATGCCTAGCAGAGGATCACCATCTGTTTGTATTGAATTTATCGGATAATCTGACACGATAATCGATGGTGAACTAGACTTATCGTCATATTTGTCGATAATTGTCCATTTACTGAATTCCTCATTGCCGAGACTAGAGGATTCACCAGATGTGCTTAGATTGCATACGACTACTTTTGAAGTATTCATGCCGACCTTTGAATTATTTGAATGGAAAGGAATTTTCACATGAATTACTTTCGACTATGAAAAGGGAAAGAAAAAGAAAGAGAAAAGAAAAATAGGCCTAATAATATAACCAGAATCAAATGAAAAACTGAAACACATCTAATGACCTTGAAACAATCATCAACCAATCAAACATTTTTAGTGTCCCGCTGACCTAGACGACCTTTAATGTGTTCATATGATGTGTCCTTCCTGCATAGAATAGTCCGTTACTAGGTCTCTTTCTTTTCTTCTCCTGTTATATTTGATGTCGCTGCTTTTGGAAGACATACGAAGCCTCTTGTAAGACTCTGAGGGAATTGCAAGCAACGGCCTAAACGTCCCACAAGTAGCTCCTTATGTCTCCTTCTTCGAAAGTAATAGGTCACGGGATTTTCATTATCCTCTGGTGAAGCTGGCCCCAAACGAGCGAAAGGGACGTCCGGTGTGTTCAGATCATCTCGATTTGGCTAGCTAGCAAGCACTACTGGTTGATTGGTTTGAGTAGTATACAACTACTCATCTCAATTACTCAGTAGTATAAATTTTTATACAAAATTTTGGAAAGATAGATGAAAGTTTAAAAAATATTTATTTAAGCTACTTTATACTTCCAATTTTTTTATTGATCCTATCGGAATGACGAGCCCAGGTTGTGTTGACATGTCACACTCCTTGTACGGATGCATCGACGGTGCGATTAATGGCCTCAAAGCTTTATGTACACCTATGGAAGTATGTGGACGGTTATTACTTCCTAGCTGTCCACAGCGTGGAAGAAGCTGACTTCATCTTGGGGTACTTGGAACAGAATGCGTTTTATTGCTGCATAACCGCAGAGCCTAGTGGACAACTGACTGAGGCCGGCAACACACAACGTGTTTGGTCTTACTGCAGGTTACGGACCGCTGCAAAACAAGTCGGGATGTACAGTTTTCAGGTAGACGTTTTCTAACCACCCATCTCTCTTCAGAACAGAAACGAAGCATAACTTGCATAGTGATTACCTGAGAGAAACATCTTCCTATTGTAAAGTCCTTATTTCTTTTAACAGTACGACTCCGTCCACAGACCCCCACCCCGAACCCAGTGTGTAAATAACTTATACTATGCCGGTAACCGCTTTTAGTTGAACCGCTATTCAAACAACCTTTCTGGTATAGTAGGACCTAAAGCCAGCGTAACTCGTTAGGTCATCGTGACATACACGCCCGACCACCATACCAAAAAAGCAACTATCGGTCGACAAGGGTTGGTGGAGGCAGTAGCAGTGGAAACACCACTACAGACATCACCACCTTCTGGGAGATTGGTAACGAAATGTTTGCTTGCAATTTGATATCTCTGCATAGGGAAATTATCATTTGCACAGATCTTCCCTGTTGTGCTACCTACTTCTGCCATTCCTTCGTATTGTCTTTTTTTGTCTTCTTTTCGTGTCTACCGTGTTTTACCGCAACACTGGTCCATTAGCTTTCTTAGACGTTAAATCTATGCCTCCGCTATTTGATATCTTTGTGCTGATGACCATCTCTATATATTCACTACGGATGCATCTTGTCTGTCTGTCTGTTTTCAACACAGAACTTTGCACCGATGTGCAGCAGTTCAAGTCGACACACTCCACTCCTTGTAGCACACAAAGCAAGAGAAGGAAGTAGAAGAAATACAAAATAGAGACAGTAAACAGGGATATGAGAGAAAAGGATTAGTAATAACGAAGAACAATAAAGTTTCATTGGAAATTATAAGTCACAAGGAGTAGATGCATCTGCGCCAGCCATTGAGAATGATTATAAGCCATATCACCGATTATATCCAGCTGTCATTGGTGTTTACCGTCCCGAGGACCCCAACCAGTCAGGAAGTCTACACCTTCCTACATGACTGGCTTAAACTAACTGTTGTGGATTTCATTGACTGGTGAAGCCATGTTTTGATTTAACCGCCGCCGGCGCTTTTCCAGCCTGACCCTATATCAGCTGACATTGCCCATCGAGGGAGGCGATGACTATGCATGCGTTACACATGTCTTAACCATCTCAGTCGATATAACTTCACAGTTTCGTTTACTGATTTCCCCTCGTTACCTAGCATTCAACGTCTAACCTCAATATTGCTCACCCTATTATACCACTTCACACAGGAGATAGAACGCAGGCACCTGTGGTCAGAGACAGTCAATCTTTTTCATGTCTTCCACTCTCAATGACCAGGTCTCACAGCCATAAAAGAGGACGGAATGGACTGCTGAGAAGTACACTCACTCTTTGGTCGATAGCCAGCCGGATATCACGTCTACGCCAGAGACGGCGTAAACTGGCATATGCGAAGCTAGCCCTCTGTATCCGTGCTGAGATTTCGTCAGAGATCAACTTGTTGGCGCTGGCTGATGGTACTTCCGGAATAAGTGAAGCGGTCAACGTGCTCTACCACTTCACTCCCTATTTCTAAACTAGGAGTCAGTGTAGTTCAGTCAGTCCTGTAACTTCATCTTACATTTGGCGGGAGCGAATCGTATGCCAAACATTCGTAGATTGTAGCTCAAGGTGTTCAGAAGACTCTGCTGTATTTTGTCAGCGTCCTCGCCTAGAAGGACTGTATGAATCTTGTCAGTAATACACGTCATAGGTAAGTAGTGTTGCCTTGTATTTTACAAATATTAACTAAAGTTCAAACAGACTTAAAACATTTATGATTAATTTATTAAACTGTGATCCCTATCAGTGAGTGAATGAACCTCACAATAGGCTGAACATATAGTATGAGACTTCTAGACAAAATGAAGTCGAATCAGTAGGCCATTTCGCTAAACAGACCAAGGAACGATCCAAATTTTAAGTGTATGAGGTATGTATAATAAATTAAATTTATGAATCTACTCATTATCACGTTATAGCAACAACAAAAAAAGTCATACCTTTTGTGCTTCAGGCAAATGGCCACTAGCCGCTTCACAACCATGTACAGCTCTTCGTCGTTCAGAAATAAGCGTTGCTTGTTTCACCCGATTTACAGAATTATCCCAGTTTGTAGACATTATTCTATTCTTATTACTTCGTACCCATCGTGAAGCACTTCGACAACTACGTCCACATGATGAACAAGCTCCAACACAACAATCGCCTACTCGGGGACGTCTACGTCTTTGGAGACCAGGTTGTGTAGAGGGCCCTGTTAAATGTCTATTGGACAATGGAGATGGTGACATACCAGGAGATAAATTACGTAGTGTTGGATATGCTGTACCCTGTTGATAAGGATATGTCGGTGTAACAAATTCAGAGAATGTTTGAATGTTTGATGTTGGTGTTTCTACGGAATCGGGTAATGTGACGAAATGGTCAGTTGCATTATCAACATCTTTTAGTGAAAAGTTGTCCTTTATAATCAGCTTCTTTGACATTGAACTATAAACATTATTAAGAAGAAAAAAAACGAAAAACAGTCAAAAATGGTAAGAATAGAAGAAGAGATTGCAGGAAAATTGATGCACAGAGAGTTAGCTTGAATCCCCCCTCCCGTCTTTGAGTCATATGAAAAAGAGAAGACATTCAGCAAGGAGACTCTTTTGGGCGAATTCATTCACATAGCTGTACAATCGCATTTATATACAATTATTTTGTGTGTGTGTTTACATGAGGTTGGTCAAATTTAGATTAATTAATTAATCGGGTAATACAAGAATGACCTAATATAGAAACAAGGTTAATTAGACAGCAAATAAAGTAAGATTGAGTTAGTAAGTTAGATGACGTGGTTCTCTAACTCATGCCAGCATATAATGAAATCCTCCATCCAATCAAACAAAATTTCTACAAAACCAATACTTGAAAAATTAACCTAATGCTCACTAGCGACTGGCCCTATTCAGCCAGTCACCTGGAGTTCTAGTGGGAGGCTGTGACCAGTAGGGTACAACAGCAAGTTGAAGATGAGGCAGTAACTCTTCGAAGAAGATATTGCGGAATGGTCGCGCTATGTCGTGAATTCGAAGAAGTTGGAACTCATACACTGGCCAGTGGATCGGGTCCCAGTGGCTCAATGGTCTACGAGCTCGCCTTGTAACCAGAAAGTCCTGGGTTCGAACCCCGGTGGGTGCGTTCTTCAGGAGAGTCCCAAACAAGGACGAAACAGCTGTCCAGTACTCCACCCAATCAAACAAAATCCCTACAAAACCAATACGTAATATAATTGACTAAAATGTTTCAACTTAGGTCAGGATAACAACAGAGGTAATTACAGGTAGACACCAAGTAGAGGTGAGGTAGAGAATAATGCTATTTAAATTAGGACTAAAATTGAGCAAAATAAATTGCATGACGTAAGATAAATGACTAGAAATTGAGTGTTGGTCAAGTCAGTAACAGTTGTAATGAAGTATAGAAATTAAATCGGGTGAGAACAGGAAAGTTGAAAGCGTAAAATATTACAATGGAAATGACAAAATAATACTAATGAAGAGACAGAAAGAAATAGAATTTACCTGTCGGGTAATCAGATAGATTATGTTCATTACAAGTGCAGTGAGTGAACGAACTTCTTCTGTCTGCAGAGCTCAGGGTTTAGCAAGTGAATTGCTATTGCTTCTGCAGTTTCAAGAAGTCTGACTCGTACACTTTTAGAAAGACTGCTTCGTATTTTGTAGACAACTTTGAAGTTTGTTTGGGGGGCTGTAGCTCGGTGTCCGGAATCTACCATATGTGCTAAGATAGAGCTAAGGGGGCATTGATTTTCTTCTTTGTTAAAACCATGCTGGTAATTGTTCGGTGATACACAGATAATTGTTTATATTGCATCTTTAAATTTCACCATCTTCTAAAAAATAACTAGCCAGAACTTATCCTGCGGCAAAGTTGGTTCCCGTTTATCGACACCCTTCCTAAGTTAACTCTACTTGTGCATGCAAGTTTACACGTATCTGTGGTAGCAGTTACTTTGGGAGAACAGAGACAATGGGCATATTCCCGATTCTCTGAACATGTACTAAAAAGTTTACATCTCAATGAAAGAAAAGCTCTGAACAGTGAGTGCTATAGCCAGACATCTTGTTGATTCAGGGTGTACGACGTGAACACAGTGGTATCCTTAAAGGTTATCAATAGACAATATTACTCAGCTGTCCTCAAATTTGCCGAAGCACTCGCTATCAAACGTTCACTTATAAGTCCTTCCTTGTCATTGTAACTCAGCGGCTAATCTCTTCCTCTCATTTGATTATATAATCTTTTGCTTCAACCTACCCCCGCCTCCACTCGCCCACTTTTTCTTTGACTGAATTTAGTTTCGCTCCTTTTTTCTTTCCATCACTCAACTTCAACCAACCACACATATATCTAACTATGGAAAACCAGCTGTTTCATCCTAGTTTGGTACTCTTCATCAGTACGCACCCACCGGGGTTCTAACCCAGAACCTTCTGGTTACAAGGCGAGCTCGTAGACCATTGAGCCACTGGGAAGCTACCCAATGGAGAGCGCATCAATTCTAACTTCTGCCAACTCACGACATAGCGCGACCATTCCGCAATGTCTTCTTCGATGAGTTACTGCCTCATCTTCAACCTGCTGTGAAGAGTTCCAAACAAGGACGAAACAGCTGTCCGGCACTCCCAGGTTTTCCAGTAGTTCTCTAACTGATGTCAAACTCATGATGGCGGAATGATTAATAACATGAACGGTGGTTCGTTGAATAGGTTTATTCAATGTTCAACTAATACTAGTGCAGTGTCCAGCATTTACAAGTTATTTCTCTGATAACTTATTTCTTTTTTATATTATTACGGTTATTGTTCCCTTGGGTCCCCAGTGGAACATAGTGAAAATCGTCTTTAGACAAACAAAAATTCCATTTCTAGATATCGTATTCAAGAGAAGTCACACACACACACACAGGAAATTTAGAAACACAAGCATGTAGACCAAATACTCATCTAAAAACAGCAATAATCCCATTGAGGATAAAATTTATTTTGATAAAGTCTCACACAGTGTTTTGTTATACAGTAATATTTAACCATGACGACGTTTCGAGTACAATTTATTACTGCTCATAATCATATCAAGGCAATACTCACACAACTCACCAACTTCGTTTGAAGGATCCCACTATTTATCATCTCTTGATTTGATTGATAGGAGTATTTTCCGTATCTCAGGGATGAGTGATGAGTCATTCATGCTGCATGTGTTGGGTGTAGACTCCATGATCAAAGATTCAGTAATCAATCTCTCTCTCTCTCTCTCTCCACCTACCTATATTACTTCTTACAATTTTAACCCTCATCCACCATGCTATTGTGTGGTTGTGTGTTAATGCATGCAGTGCAGTATAGTGCTGAGCTTTTTTCTAAATTACTTATTTTCTCGGGGTCAACCATTCTTACCTTAACTAAATTCTTATGTTCCGACAGTCTGACTACCCCCAACCTGCCAGTTTGACCTATGTAGTTCACTTCACTCACAATCATTGCAAGGTATTTTGTAAATTATTTTATTTTGTCTAATTGAGTCAGCTGACAAGGTCCTTTAGCCTAGAGAGCTTGTCGCTGAGTGAATTTGTAGGTTTAAATACCACTCTAGTTCCTGCTTTATTGAGAATCCTACGTAGGATCTCAGATGCCCCCTCCCTCCTTATACGGTATAACTGTAGATGCCTTATATTCTCTCTTATTTAAGTTATCATTATTAGTTTCACCATTACCTTTCATTTTACTTTTGAGCTTTCCTGATATTCCTAATGAATTTTATAGGATAGTTACTTAACACCAACGCTTCCTCTATCTGTTTTGTTTCATCATTTAGGTTTTTTTTGTACTACTTAGTGTTACTGCTCGGTATGTTAGAAACTTAAGTAAGCCTGCCTTAACAGTTAACGGATGACACGAATTAAAGTCTATATATCTATTAGAATGCGTTGGTTTTCTATAAACACTAGTGTGTAGTTTACCTTCTTCTATTCGTTTTATTTTACAGTCTAACACAGCTAATGCTCCTTGTTCATTTTCCGATTCAGAGGTGAATTTTATTCTCTCTACTAGTGAGTTTATATGTGGGAAGAAGCTAGAGATATGCTCTGTTTCTAACACTGTGAAAGTGTCATCCACATATCTCCACCATATTTTTGGAGTAAGATTAAATGTATTTAGAGCAATATTTTCCCAGCTGTCCATAAAGATATCTGCTACGAAAGGGGATATTGGTGATCCTATTGCTACACCTCCTGTTTGTTTATATATTTGCCCTGGAATTTAAAGATAGTAAACGTGAGGCATAATTGAATTCCTGAAAGGATTTCCTCAATGGGTAGCTTTGTCCTATGATTAAGTTCGGGATCAGAAGTTAGTTCCTTCTTAACTGCTTCTAATGCCATATTACTGTATAACACTGTCAGACTTTATCAAAATAAATTTTATCCACAATGGAATTATACTCTACCACAGCGTACAAGTTCTACTCTTATATAACAGCAATAACCCAATCACTCACAAAAGCAGCTGTAAGCAGACATTGTTTAAAACAGTTCAAACACACTGTAACACTCCAATGGTGAAGAGAGAATGGAAAAAAGATACCCACTAACTGTCTTCAAAAAGAATGAAAACCCACTTACCCATACAATCTTGTCAAAAAGTGTTTAAACTCAGGTCGTAACACACCAGCAAGAAACCATCGTCAAATACCACCAAAAAAATTCACTGAAATAAAAGCTAGAATATTAAGACCGTTTGAAATAGATATGGCATATAAGCCAACATAAATCACATCATTCGATACTATGCAAGCCGAAACATCCAACAGCCAAACAAGATAGAATTAATAGCATTTACAAGATAAGTTGTATGAACAACAATAAACAATACACCGGTCGAAATGGGCATCCCCTTCGAATCCGAATCGAAGAACACGTGTTAGGTGTTAAAAGACACGACATATTGTATTCTTTCACATCGATGCATGTAGACGATTAACGATTCTCAAATTTTGATGATTGAGAGAATGTACAAAGTTCAAACAGAGGAAACACTAAGAGCAATTAACA